TGAATGAGCTATTGAAATCGCACCAGTGGGAGCAGAGGAGTTGCTTGGACACACACATGCGCACACACACACACACTGTACTTTATATATAAGAGAGTTATTCAGCTGAAAATACAAAAAACATTTTTTAAATAAAACATATATTCCTTCTATTATAAACACTTCCTATTTCTAAAGTAAAAGATATTTACATGCCTGATCTTCCCTAGAGAAAATAGCCAATAGTTTAAAATGATGAAAACATTACCTTCAACAAAAGTTTAAATCTTCAAGAAACATTGCGTTTAATCATTGTTTATGTATGTGGTTGAGCACTTGGACAAAGTGTAATAGTTAGCAAGCTTGTCTCACAAGATCAATTATAACTGAATAGTGAATTTGATCCTCATTGGGTACCCCATATTTTTTGGCTCTGTGTCACATGTAAGCTACACAGAAAATCACCATTGTTTTTCTCACCAGAATTGGCATGCTATTTAGACAGCCAAATGAGTTGCATGTAACCCACAGACTGAAGTTAGCCTATGACTGCTTTAGCACCAATGCAAAAGGCATGAATCCATCACTTTTTCACTCACTGAAAGTTATGGGATAAACACTTAGATACAGCCCTCCCACCTTGGTTGGCAGCCAGTCTAGAAGGAGAATTAATTCAAAACATTAAGAGTAGTTATTGCTTGCCTTGTTTTCACAGTCCAAATAATACTACCCAGCCCAGAGATTGAACTCATAATTAATGCCATCAAATTCACAAACCAATGCTTTAATACACTAGGTTAGAGTCCTGTGGAGTTGGTTCATGAATTTGGTGATATAGTAACCGAGTTCAATCCTTGTGTCGGGCAGAGTGTACTTGGATTCAGTGGAAAGGGTGAGCATTAACTGAGCAATACTAAAAATAAAAACTAGACAAGATATACATAGACATAGGCACAGTGGAATGAGAACAGTCTATCTCCATAGATTAAATAAAGGGTTCAGTCTGGAATTCCCTGTAGATTACCCAGATTAATATACACCTGATGAAGGTTGGTGGGCACAAAGGACTGAAATGTTGTGATAACAACAACAAAGATGAGGATAATAGTTTAAATGTAATTTAAATAATGATAACTCTTCATCTCAAAAATCAGTCAAAAGGGACATGAGAAAAACAAAAAAAAACAACATACACATTTACACTGGACAAAGAGTTTTAATTCTTAAAGTACAAAATAGAATTTGTGACAAGATTATATATGAAAAAATTTTAAAACAAACATTCAAGTTCCTTTGTAAACTACAAAATTACTTACGAGAAATGTGTTTCCAGCATTTTTTTGAAATACTAATCCTATTTTTTTTTTTCCAGTTCTGTAAAGATCATTAATTCAAACATTTCGAGAGATGAGAAAATACCTGGGGAGTGGGGGAGGGTGATGACAGCTGAAGCCAAATACACAATGCACTGTGTATTACAAGACAACTTCCTGTTGACTTTATGTTATCGTCTCCTGCATTTGACAGTTATTTCTTTAACATTTGACCAGTTTTCCCCAACCCACCCAAAACCCAACAAATGTTGCGATGGGGAGACCTTTAACATGTTCAGTGCACATACCCTATCCCACCAAATGTCACCATGGAAAGCATTCTAGTTGGAAATATTCCCCCAAGGAAATTGTTGCACCTCAAACAAATAGACTGTTAAGGAAAATCTATTTTGAAAAGCATTAGCAGTACTTGATCAAATATGCATAATCAAAGCCAAAGGATGACAAAGGTTTGTAGCCATTGATGCAGGGACAGATAAAGTTATACATTATTGATGTGAAAGTATTTATTTTAGGGAACTTGCAGCTGCTGTGGAGAGAAGAGAAATTGGAATTACAATAATCAGATGCATTCGTTCGGATCACATTTAGCAGCTGGTTTCTTTCTTTCTTTCTTTTTTCAATTATATCCCAGCCACAAAAGAGAGGCATGTATATTTAGCTGAGTAGTTAGAACATTCACTTTCTAACCACGAGACCCAAGTTCAAATCCCACCACGGTTGGTTTGTCATGAAGGTGACATCTTGATGCCACTGTCCTGAGGGAGATGATCCCAGAAGACAATACTTTTGGAGAGTGATTATAAACCATACCCCTGGTTGACCAAAGATTTGTAAGTGAAATTCAGTAGACAGAACTGTTCAGGGGTTTTTAATGTTTGTGCTAGCAGAAAGTCACAAGTCATTGTGACTGAGGGTTTTAAGTGTACTGGCATTGTTGAAACTGTTGATCATGTCAGATGATTCCAACACTCAGTATATTTTAGCATTTTCCCACCTGCTACTATTTCAACCCCCTTACCATACTTTAGCATTTCTTCCACCATCCCCTACTATTCCAACAACCCCATACCATACTTTAGCATTTCTTCCACCATCCCCTACTATTCCAACAACCCCATACCATACTTTAGCATTTCTTCCATCCCCTATATTCCAACAACCCCATTCCATACTTTAACATTTCTTCCACCATCCCCTACCCCCATATATACTTTAGCATTTCTTCCACCATCCCCTACTATTCCAACAACCCCATACCATTTCTTTACCATCCCCTTCTTCCACCATCCCATACTTTACTATTTCCAACAACCCCATTCCACCCCCATACCATACTTTAGCATTTCTTCCACCATCCCTACTATTCCAACAACCCCATACCATACTTTAGCATTTCTTCCACCATCCCCTACTATTCCAACAACCCCATACCATACTTTAGCATTTCTTCCACCATCCCCTACTATTCCAACAACCCCATACCATACTTTTTTAGCATTTCTTCCACCATCCCCTACTATTCCAACAACCCCATACCATACTTTAGCATTTCTTCCACCATCCCCTACTATTCCAACAACCCCATACCATACTTTAGCATTTCTTCCACCATCCCCTACTATTCCAACAACCCCATACCATACTTTAGCATTTCTTCCACCATCCCCTACTATTCCATCCCCCTTACTATATTTTAGCATTTCTTCCACCCTCTATCAATACAACCCACTTTACTATATTTTAGTATTTCTTCCACACCTGCTACTATTTCAACTTCCCCATTTAGTATATTATCTTTTCCACCACACTACTATCTCAACTTCTGCTAACCCCATTGTAGAGTAGACAGCTTAATTAATGAGAGAAAAACTAAATTAGAATCACATATGAAAACTGAACAATAACCAGGGCAAATGTTGTCAGGAAAAAGAAGTCAGTGGAGATTGGATCTGAATGTTCATTGGCTCATTAACCTCAACATGACATTGAATATAGGGAGTGAGAATGAAGAAAAAGCTAATTCAGTTGAAAACGGAATAAATTAGAAAAGAGTAGGCAACATGGAATTTCCCCAGAGAAAATAATCACTGTTGCCTTGGAAACTGTTTAGATAGAAGCACCATGATGAATCTGAAAGAAGTTTACAGGATTTCATGAGACTTCTTTTCAGAAAGTGCTTCTTCATTCTATTTGCAGACTTGCTTGCTAAATATTTTTTTTATTTACTAATCCTTACAGATTTGCGAGTATTAAGGCAGGATCAGATGTGTTCATGTCAGTGAGGAAAAGAATAAAGCCTTTTTGAAACAGATTTAAATATTTGGGAAGTGTTTAACATAGGATGGACAGTGTGACACAGATTCGAAGACATATTCAGATGGCCAAAGATGCATTCCAAAAGCTAAGCAGAGTATTAAAACAGAAAAATTTTGTTAAAAACAAAAGCATATTGAAATGTCATGTGATATCGGTCTTCCTGTCTGGCAGTTAATGCTGGACAATCTCCTCAAGGATGAAGAAGAGACTTGAAGCAACAGAAATGTGGTTCTACAGAAGGATGATGAGGATACCATGGACTGAATATGTGAGCAACAATGAGGTTTGGGAGAAAATAGAAACAAAAAGAAGATTTATACTTAATATCCGGAAGAGGCAGCTGAAAATTCAGGGGCATGTAATGAAGAAGGAGGGCTTGGAAAATCTGATACTCACAGGGGAGATTGAGGGAAAGACGGACAGAGGAAAGCAGCATATAACATACTTGATGAGCTTGAGTAAATGGATGGTAGAACAGGGTTTAAGAGAAATAACAAAAAGACCAAAGTTATTAAGAGCTACAAGGGACAGGAAGATGTGGAGGGCTAGATTTGCCTCCGTCCTGAAGGGACACAGCACATAAAAGATGCTTTGTTTCAGATGTAGTAGGCATCCGTTTATCTTGCGTGATAAAGGTAGTGCCCAGTCAGAATTCAGTCCTTTGCTTGTGCAAATAGAGTGACCTCCCCAGGGTGCAAGCACAAGTGATTGTATATGAAGGCCACATGCTATCCAAACTACATACCCCACCCCTCTCAGTCACACCAACAAGATCCAAAGGAACACAGAGTCAAATGTGCTGTTAGTGTAACAGATACTGGTGTGGGAAGTGAAGTGGAGGGCATAGTTCATATTTTAGTTTTGACTGTTGCATTCACTTTCACACTAATATGCTTAGAAAAGGCATGAATCCATCTCTTCTCTCTTACCCAGTTATGGGTTAAATAGCAGAGTGAGCTCTCTAGCCTTGGGTGGCAACCAAAAAGTATTTTTTTTTTTATTTCAAACTATGAAAAAAGCAATGGGCAACTGCTCAACTATCATTCCTCAAAAGTCATAGCAATCCACTGATAATAAATTTAGTTCATTGCTTTGTTTTCTACAGCTTATCAACCATTTCAAGGTTATTTAAAGCCAGAAAATATTTTTAGATTGTAATAATTTTTTTTTTTTGTTGTTAAGATAATAATGATTTACTGATAAAAGTCTTACTAATTAGCCCATAGCTGGGTGGAAAAAAGGTGGATTCATACCTTTCTCAAGGGTATTTGCATGTAAATGAATATAACAAATTCAATTAGAATTAGAACTTAGCTCTCTGATTAACAATCTTGAGCCATTATCCATTAAACCAACTGCACATCCAAGCTTACAGCACCTGGTATTCCCAAGCGGTTACCCATCTAGGAACTGACCAGGCTTAACATTGCTTAACTTCAGTGATCATACAGGAACTGGTGTTTCAATGTGATGTGGCCGTAAGCCCTCACTAATAATAAACTGATGGGAGTCATGATCATCTATGCCCTGGAGTGACATGGTATTTTAGAAATATATATCTGTATAGTAAAAATGAATTTGTGCCCTCTTGTCAGAAAAGAAGTTTTTATTCCATGTTCCCATCCTCCAACTCAACATGTCTGAAAGATGTCACCCACCAGCCAAAAAAAAAAAAAAAAAAAAAAAAATTATAACCAGGCAATGTAATTGATCCGGTCATAGATAGATAGCTAACCACTCACATCTGAGGATGCCCATCTTCTAGGGCAGCTAGCTGATCCCTGTTGTAGACGCCTGCTCAGGCATATTTGTGTTTGTTCAGCACCCACACAGCACTCCTGTGGTTTATACTGCAACTATGCTGATTGGACCTTAGTTACAGTTTCTGGGAGAGAGAACATTATCTAGCATGATCAATAGTTTGAACAAGGCCAGTCTGCTTAAATCATTAGTTACAATGACTTGTGACTTTGTGCTAGCACAATCATCAGTGGTTCCCAAAGGGTTTCATCTACCCAATTTCACTCACAAGGCTTGGGTCAACCCATGGTTCAGTTTTCAAGCACTTTCCAAAAGTGCTGCACACTGTGATCGCCTCCTCTAGACCAATATCATCAAGAAGTCATCTTCCTCACAAATCAACTGTGGTGAAATACGAACCTGGGTCTCATGATTAGAAATTAAACATTCTAATCACTCAGCCATGTACCTGCATGATCAAGTCATAATAATGCATATTAACATCTTGAGATATTAAAAGAGTTGAGAATTCTAAGTGAAAGAATAAAAATACTAAGTAAAAAAAAAAAAAAAAAAAAAAATGGAAGATTAATTAACTAGATTGGAACCTGATATAACATTAACCAGAAAGGGCCTGTCCTAGGTAAAAGGCAGAAGATGAACCTCTACTCCGGTTCAAATGGTCAGATTCACACTGCTCTCTGGTCTATTGAACAGGAATAGAGTATTTACACTATTTACATAGTTCGGACTGTTGTCCTCATATATATTTTCATATTCACAACATTTCAGCTGTTGTATACTCTGGCCTTCTTCAGGTGATATACGTTTGAATTTTGAACCAAACTCTCTAATTAGTCCACAGGGTTAGATTGTTCTAGTTCCACATGCCATGTCTTTTTTTAATATCTCAGTTTCAGTTAATTCCCTTTTAGTAACTAAACTCTCCAAGTCTTTGTTCACCTCTGCTGTGGCCAGGTATTGAACTCACAACTCTTTGGATCAAGTCACTTTTGCATTACTTCAACTAACGCTTTTATCCATTGGGCCATGTATCCTTGGGGACAAGGTTTCCTGTTTAGGATTAGGTTTCCGGTACATTCTAGTCTTCATTCTTTTTCACTCCAAGTAGCCTGTTGCATTTTAGCAACATTATCACCTTGCTTGGGGTGAATTGATTTATATATAAAAAAAAAAAAAAAAAAAAAAATCAATAACATTTTTATTTCAGGAAGGCATCAGTAGGATTTGAACCCAAATTAAACCAAATAAGATTTAGTAAATTCAGTGCCTGTGGCCATAACTGAATTTGTATACCAAACTCACAACAATGGAGAACTTGGAGAGGGGAATTAACAGGAGATAACTGATAACTGATATCCATTAAACATGGCACGTGGAACTAGAACAGTCTACTCCAGTGAGCGAAATAAAGGGTTCAGTTCAAAATTCCTGAAGAAGGCCGGAGTGTACAACGGCGGAAACGTAATAAATATGGCAACAAAGATAAGGACAATAGTCCAAATAATGTAAATAGTGTACATAATACCTCATCTCAGAAGATACAGAGCAGTGAGAGGCTAGCAATGTTTCATCTGTCGGAAAGGGGATGTAGGGTGGGAAATAAGTCAATACCCAGAAGGACATGTAGATGCTTTTGAACTCTACTAAGACAGGCAAGTGAAGACTAACTAGCTCCAAACCAGATAGGGTAATAATGTTACATTTTTGGTTTAATCGGTCTCCTGAAAACAGAGTATAGTAAAGGGTAGGGGAGTCAGATACTTACTGGAATGGTACAATGAAACAACCATTTTTCTAGCATCTTTATATTGGATATACGAGTTCTACTTGAAATCTGGAGAGAGCTTGAGTCCCAACAGACAGTCAAAACAAGGTACCTCCTTGAAGAACTGCTCAGTTATTGCTTGTCCACTGAGTCTATGTACTACCTGGCTCAGGGATATCAACTGAAGGTAGGAGCATACAATTGCCAAAACATTGTGTCAATAATGATGAAGACAACAGTCCAAAAGATGTAAATAGTTACAATACCTCATCTCAGAAATATAGACAATTTTTTTCTTTTCTTTTTAATAGTAATTTTCAACCCGTTTCAGCTTCTTCAATATCAGGACCTGGCAGAATAACTGAGCAATACTGAAAATAAGAACTAGAAGAGATATCACTAGACATAGGTAGTGGAAAGAAAACAATCACCACACATAGATTAAATAAAGTGTTCAGTTCAGAATTTCCTCTAGGTTATCCAGGATCAACATACACCTGATGACAGTTGGAGAGTACAACAGCCAAAACGGTTGTGAAAGCAACAGAGATGGGGACCAAGAATTATATATGCTTTAGAAAGGGTAATATATGAATGCATGGTCTTATTTTATTCTGGTGTCAAAAAATAAAAAAAAGTTTAAACATTTGTATCTTGCTAACATTATCTGGACAGAACATGCCAAAATTCAGTCAGATCAGATAGTAGAAATCTGAAAGGGGCAAATGTTGTACATCTGGCGGTGTATAAATGTATACTAAATGTAGATGTTGGTCTGGTGACATGTAATGACATCAAATAAAAACTGAAATGCAGGTTTTTGGTGTTTAAAAGACAATTTATGTAAAAAAGAATTCAAGTTTCAAGATTTATTGATTTTACAAAGGTTCAGTTGAGTACACAATAGTTCATTAGTTGCCAGAAATGTTTACATGAAGCATGGAGAGAGAGAGAGAGAAAGAGAGAGAGAGAAAGAGAGAGAGAAAGAGAAGAGAGAGAGAGAGAGAGAGAGAGAGAGAGAGAGAGAGAGAGAGAGAGAGAGAGAAACAGAGAGAGAGAGAGAAACAGAGAGAGAGAGAGAGAAAGAGAGAGAGAGAGAGAAACAGAGAGAGAGAGAGAAACAGAGAGAGAGAGAGAAACAGAGAGAGAGAAACAGAGAGAGAGAAACAGAGAGAGAGAAACAGAGAGAGAGAAACAGAGAGAGAGAAACAGAGAGAGAGAAACAGAGAGAGAGAAACAGAGAGAGAGAAACAGAGAGAGAGAAAGAGAAGAGAGAGAGAAAGAGAAAGAGAGAGAGAAAGAGAAAGAGAAAGAGAGAGAAGAAAAGACAAGAGAGAAGAAAAGACAAGAGAAAAGAAAGCATTAGTTATGCAATGACACTATAATCATTTTTGATTAAAATTTTTAAATCCAGCTATAATTAAAAATGTTAATATTTATCTTGGCGTAATCATTTTCAATAATACACACTGCACAATCACAGAGCCTAGTAAAGGCTGTTTCATTGACTATCAATCGCCCACATCATCTTAAACTGAAAAAGGTGACATTTTTAAAAATTCTAAAGGGTAAAAGAAAATCATCCTATTTTATATTTACTTTGTAATTATTAAATGCAACAAAAATTAGAAGAAAAATTAAAAACTAAATAATGCTTAAAAAGCTTGCATATTTCACAAATTAAAAAACAATAAGGAAGCTTTGTCCATAGTTTGGAAAGTGAATGTTGTAAAAATTTTCAAAAGATTCTTTATTTGAAATTTAAACTCAAGTTTATTTTCTTAACTTCAAAACACCTGTCCACATATGAAAGAACTTTATTATGAATGCTTGAAAAGATATCAGTTTCCTTATTGAATCTTAAACATAAAAAGAAACAAGTCTTAAAATTACTTTTTGATTAACAAAAAGGTATGTCTGTCCCAGTGACATTTTTTTCCTTATACCCACTTGCTATATACTTATTGTGGTGTGGCATTATTTATTTATTTTATTTTATTTTTTTTATTTCTGACTAAAATCTCAAAAGATTGTACTTTTCAAGTTCAGGCACAAGGCCATTCCAACATAATCCAAACTTCAAGTTAATATACTTTGCTTTTCTAGATTATTAAGGGTAACAACAGTTTCAGCAAGGTTGAAGATTATATTTAAGAAGAAACTCATAAAAAAAAAGACTAAAAAAAAAAAATAAAAAAATAATAAAAAAAAAAATACTCAAAAAGAAGAGACTCAAAAAAGATAGTCAAGCACCAGTTGAACCTTCTGCTTGTGCTCTTGTACAATCGCCATCAAGAGAATCAAACACCTGAGTGGGCCAAGCTTTTTTGTGGGATATGGCATCCACCATCCATTATGTTGCCACAACAGGAGTTCTTTCCCATACATATTCTGAGTATGGTCAGGCACTTTATTTTTCAGCTCACCAGGTGCATGACCACTTGCCCATTTCCACAAAGTGGTCCACACCCTATTATTTTGGTCAAATATCACGCTGAAGTCAGGCCTGTCAATAGAAATGGTGGTGCACCAGTTTAGGTTTCTATCAGGAAAGCACACTTCACCCAATCTGGTTAGATGCACACCTCCAAGCTCCCTCACTGCGTCATCCTGAAGATCAAATCCTAACAACTGTCTATCTACGATCAGTGCCTCAACAGTCACAGGATGAGCCTGCCCAATGCCCAACTTGATTTTGCTGTACCCACAGCACTTCAAAGTCCTCCTATCAACTGTATTATCTTGTTAGAGTCATTGCGCCACAAATAGATTGAACGCATTTGTTGCATATACGGTAATAAAGGCTGTTTGATCTGTCCCTTACTTAGTTGCCAATAGATGGCGAGAGCACTGCCTCAGTCATAGTGGCAAAACACGCTCAACTTTGTCCATGATACAGAGCTTGCAGACTAACTCAATATTTTAGATCCATTCTACGAGATGGGTTTTGGTG